TGGGGGCGCACATTTCATTAGCTTTCGATTTATATTGAATGTATTAATCTCATGCTGTTTCTATAAGATGGGAGGCAGCTCAAGACAAAGGGGGGGGGGGTATCTTCAGTATAGATACCTTCTTCCTCCATCTGCCTGCAATGTGTGCGCAAAAGTATATGAAAAAGAGATGGGTGGGGAGGGAAGCATGGAAGGGGAGGGGAGGAAAGGAACCAAGGAGGCGGGAAGGGAGAGGGAAAATAACTAACAACAAGGGCTCGTGAAAAGACCGCAGAGGAGAAAAAAAGTGTGTCAGATCATTTACCAGCGGGGATGCACGACTTTGTCTCTTTAAAGGCAGCAGCCCTGCAGGAAGGCTCTTGTCTAGTCAGCACTGCAACAAAGGCACTGCTATAGCTTTATTTACAGGCCTGGAATGTTCCTGTGCGCACAGCGGCAGAAGCCAAACGACTAACCCTCAGCTCCATAAAGGGAGGGAACATGGCGCTAACCTCGGCCAAACTTCACCCCCGATTGAGAGGCAAAGAATTGTTCCAACAACTGAGCTGACAAGCAGGTCACACTATTTAATCAGAGAAGTGACTCAACAAAGACCAGCTCTCTGAATGTGACTTGTGTTGTGGCTCGGTGGTCCTGTTACAGAGCCGGCTGGAGGCATTTCAGCAGGTGTCAGCTCAGAGAGAACTGAAGTTTACACATGCCTTGCAAGGACGGTTAACAAGCGGGCGGACATTATTTGTTCAATGCCTTGTTGACTCGCAGAACTGCCAAGAGATTAGTAATTTATTTCTCTTTGTTTGAGCGCTCCTGGTTCACAATCTGCTCGGCCTGACCCCTCGCTTAGCGAGCCTTGACACACTCCACCCGGCTGCTCAGATAGAGGCTGAGGGCATGGAGCCAGCCCCTCTGCATCCCCAGCACCCCCCTGCAGCCCTCTCAGGCTAATGACGAGGGCTGCTCCCGCTCTCTCATACGGAGAACTCCCAACGCGCCACGTCTGAGATTACATTCATTCAGTTAGAAAATGGTTTCTAAACCGGGTTCCTTGATGGGTTTACAATCAAGTCAAGAGGAGCTAAGTTTGTGAGAAATAACTGCATCTTTAAAAGTGGTTGGAAACTCCAAAATAGAGATAAGTTGAATTCCGCTGTTGGGGCTTCTACGAGTTCTACTGTTTCCTGTGCATTCTGAAATTTATGTGAGCTAAAATAAAAACTATTTATGCCAAACACAATGCAGTGCCAATACATATTTCTAATAGCAAAAAAGGGATTCCTTGATAACTTCACAAATATCCCATGCTCCGTTCCTGCTCACTAAAACATAAAGTATACAATTTTCAATAGCACTGGAATTGAGCCCAACTGTGTTTCCCTCACTTCACAGGTCAAGTTTTATTTCCCTGGCCCGGCCTATTAACCAACTGCGTCATTATGTTGTATGTAAAAGTACAAGCTAGATTTACTCTCCTCTGACCATGTGACCCTTCTTCAGCAGACTCGGGATTAGTGCTTTTATTTTGAATTAAAAAGGATATTTCACTGAAAAAAAACAGTATATTTGCAAAGGGGTTAATTGCCACCTAGAGAATATGATACTGGATACTGAATTTAATGTGTTTTTATATTTCATATCACCCTGGTTCCTAAAAACATCATCATTATAATTCAATCTCAACCTTGGCTCTCAAGATGTTTTTCTTCCGCACGTTCATAACTTTGCGGTCAGGGCTGAGAGACATTATTTGAGTAAATTAACGGGGTAAAAAAAGCTTGTTGTTATTATTTTTAAATGCTCTTGTCAATTTTGCATATTAGTTCGGTGTATGCTCAATAAGCAGTGTCTATCTCATATGTCTGTGTGAGAGAGAAGGAGAGGGCAAAGCAGAGAGCACATAAATCTGTGTGCTTCAATATGGGGGTTGGGAGGAGGGTTGCTTTATTTGAACATGGCACGCTTGTTGACCCTCTTCATAACTATCCCTCGTCTGCAGAGGCAGAGAATGGGATTGAACCACTTAGCCTCTGTAAACACAAGTTACACTGTTGAACTATGGACCTCGGAGTCGCGCTCTTAGCTGCTGGATGCCTGGCTGTGTCTGCCAGTGAAAGGAAAAATCTCTTGTTGGGGTGGTCAATTGTATTGATTTGCAGAAAGCTTTTAAAATGGGTCGCGTGCCTCTTGAGATCTCTCAGTAGTGGTGCTGTTTGCCTTTTGTGTAAGGTCATTGGTCTTACACAGCTATAGATGAACATAAAAACAAATGAGCTTCGAACTGCATTCTTACTTGGAGTATTTGAGCAGGTTGAAACAGCACAGTCTTGTTTTTCATAATCTTGTATCTGATCTATCTAATCGCAGACACACATTAAAGTCTGCCCATGTTCCTCTTTTGGCTGAATCTCAGATTTTGTATTCCCTCTTTATCATGCAGGATTTACTCATGCAACTGTGGGACGGGGCTCTCTGGCAAATCTCCTATAAATCTCTCTTATAACCGAGTGGCAGGGACCACTCCAAACTATCTTAAACTTTAATTCCATCAATAATCTTGAGTACATTTGGGATTGAATGTATACACAACAGAATGTATTCGTGGGACTAAGATAAGAGAGAGGCGGAGTTAAGTGAGAGAAAACCATCAGCAGATATGATAGCAATCTGGGATCCACATTAGGATATGCTCATCGGCCGTGCTATTACAGATTGTTCTGTTAAACAATCTTATACAGATGGTATCATACCACAATTGTTTTGTTTATTTTGTCTATCAAGGAGAGTGGTGATAGAGCGTGGGAAGCACCAAATGTGAGATCATCATTCATTCCTATGGGTAGATTTAAAGTTGAGAAAGCTGCTTTATCCTTTGGGATGAGATGAAAGACACGAAGCTCATGCCGAGGGCCCTCAGACACACAACACAGTACAAGCACAAAACTCCTGTCATACATTGTGTTGGTGATTAGTGCATGAGATAGCATATCTATACAGAATCATAGAATTTTGATCAGGAATGTTCACTGTGTTATTGTGTGTTAGCAACTGACTACAGCTTTGGAGGCGTGTTGGACTGTATGTTGGCATGAAATACTGTAGCTGAGGACAATGTTGAATTAAATTGTCCACAGTAAATTCTGTTTTCTGCACCCCGGAACCGTCTGTCATCATCACCTTTACGGCCCAGTTTTCCCAGCTCTCACTTTCAGTTTTACAAACAGGAAATGCCACTGATGATTTAAGGTTATTATATAATTCCGGGCATGAAAGAAAATAACTGTTACAGATTGTTGCATGTAGCTTTGATTTTTTGGAACACTGACATATATTGCTTTTGCCTCACTGAAACACATTCCAAGGCAGCGATGACTTAAACGTTTATGATAACAGAGACATTTTGGAACACTGGAATTACATAACAAAAGGTATTACTTATAGAAACTACTTCATAAAAGTTGTGCTGTAAGGCAGAGAGATTATGCACTGGCGTACTAAGGGATAACACAATGAATTAAAAAGAGACTACCTTGACTAAAGACAGCTTACCTTGTACTATAATTAGGAGGTTTTGCACAATGATGAGACATGGACTTGTTAATAACTCATTAAACCTGGAGCGCTCACACTAGGAATTGGAGGAAGTAATATTCTGGCAGAGTGTGCTCCAGGGTAAAACATTGAAGGAAAGGTCTATTGGCTGAATTTAGTTCAAATTCCTGCGTTGCTCAAATAAATAAAACAGAATATTAAAACCAAAACAAAATGGATAGTGATTGGAGAATTTTGTAGGTGCAACATAATGTAATAATATTGCATCCACAGAGATTTTTTTTTTTTTGAAAATGTATATAACTGTCAGCTCCAATAGCACTGTAACAATTATTTGCATGTAAAGTCCACAGAGAAAAACTAATCCCAGTGGTACGATAAATTCAGCGGGACACAGAGCCTCTTAAATCAGTTACCCTTAAGGTCAATGCTGATCATACGCAAATAGAATGTGTTTTCATTTGGCCTATTCTGTCTTACTGCTGCTGTAATTGAGGCAATTGTGGTTCTGCCCAAATACAGCTTGGTGGTTGTATGAGATCAGTGGTGCAGTTCTCAATTACATGGGGTTTGGTAATATTTTGGAAAAATGACGCGCATAACTCAGCTCATTTCAGAAAAAAATAAATGGTGAGTTTAATAATATGTAACTGTCAGGTTGTAGTCAGAAGTTGTTTGGAAGGAGGTGCTGGCTACAGCCAAAACCTTTGCAGAAATTTGAAGACAACCATCCATGCTGCTAAAGGGTCCATGACAGTGGGAATAAAAAATGAATAGATATTTTTGTCAGAGCTTGGATACATTTTTGCTGTGAATAACGGTTGCTTTTTTTCTTCAGGTAAATATGGATTCATGCCAATATTTCAGACCGACGCAAGCCAGTCGGTGGGATTAGGATCCACGGAATGTATTTGATCGAAATTAAACATAACAAAAGGCGCATCGATGTCTCATGGCTGCACATTTCAATTACAAGTGCAACATCACATACGCTAGGTGGTGCACTATGTTAGTGAGGAAGTTTATGTAGTTTGATCATCGGTAACAAAATCTGTTGCTCAGTAGCGCCACTTGCGCTGGCCTCGCGGCAATACCTATCAGTCTTGTGTTATTACAGCCCTCATGACCACGACAGTGTTAAGGCCGTCGTACCAAAACACGGAACCTGCTCTTCGGACTTTCAAAACAAAACAATCACCGTTGTTTGCGCATAGCAGCGACTTTCTATCACACAAAGTGGTGAAATAAAATGAAAAATGGTATTTAGTAATTCCACATATTTAACAAATCCAGGTTTTCCACAATAATTATTACAGCATTAGTCACAATATTACATTACAAATAATGCCATACCTTTACTTTTCCGGAAATGTTGGCTATTTTGTGACGTGTGTGTGTCTGTCGTCAGTCAGCTTGACGAAGCTTTGACCACGAACGAGCCAATAGGCTGTGGAAGGCAGAGTTGTCCCTGTGGCCGCCATTAAAGAAAGGAATCCATGAATTCAAATGGAAACCAACAGGAACCGAGGCAGAAATTATGACCGAAATTATTGCCTAAATAAAGACCGATGTCACATTTCAAGAGTTTTTTCCGGGATGTATTTGTTTTTTAGACTCATTTTTGCGATGGAGGAGTAAGACAGGACGTCTTTATTTTTTTAAGCAGAGACCGTTTTAGGGCTAAGGGGGAGGGGGGCGGGGGGGAAGTTGCTTCTTTGCTCTCCTTTTCTTTTTGTTTTATGAACATTTTCCGCTGCCTTTAATTAGCTTTTACTGTGTGCTTTTGAGATGTCGCCGTGAAGCCCACACAGTCTCTTTTACGCGCTTTTAGCTCAGGCGGCGGGGGGGGAACTGCAATCGGAAAGGTTGTTGAATTAACTATCCTCCAGCCAAATGTTCCAAAAAATATTTCTCGTTGATTTCGACTGAACATCTCCGAAGACACAACATTCGCCGATTTGTTCTCTATTTCCTGGGAAGTGAAATGATGGAGAGTTGGATCTCGCACTGAAGAAGGATGAGTTCTTGTTATGTACCAAACGGGGCCAGCTTGGAGGATTGCCATTCCAATCTATTCTGTCTGGTAAGAGATTTAAAACTAAAGGAAAGCAGCCATTTTTAACTAGCTGAACGGGGGCTAAGCTAACGTTAGCCACACGGGCATCAGTTGATAGGAGCTTAGCTAGGCTTACGGCCCTGTCGATCTGACATCATTTCAGGGCAACAAGGCATCCCAGTTCGCTCCTGTTAACACTTTGTCACTTAAACTGCTCGTAACGGCCTGTCTGTCCCCGTCTTCTCTTCCTGCTTCATTTCCACTGTTTCGGTTTGTAAAAACCCAAACATCCCGGGTGAACGCCACCGGGCTTGTTGAGCTTAGTTTACTAACATTTCTCCGGATAAAAACATCAACATGTCGCGTGTCACGGAAATAAACGCTTTGCATCTCGCTGCCAAAAGCACGACTCTGTGTCTCGGCCAGTTGGTTGTTGGAGCACTTTCTCCCTCTTGCCTCGACACCGTGTTTATTGTTAACTTTCCTTCTCGTTCTCATTACGTCTCCACTGTGTTTTGAATCAGGTGGTGACCCTTACAACTTCATCTTGCAGCGGGAAGTTCTGTCGCTGACAATAAGAGAAACGCCGAGCACCAATTTAGCAGGGAAATTCTGTGTTGTTGTTGTTATTTTTGGCGCAACCCTGTCAACTCCTAGAGGGACAAATGTCCATGCCTAAGTCCGCGCACCGTGTCGATGAAAGCACGCCCCGCACGCTTTGCCCAGAAACATCTGTGTTGTTGTTGTTGTTGTTGTTGCAACCACCGTGCAACAACATCTTTTGAGGCAACGGCATTGGTTCGCAAACGTTAATGATTTATGTAATATCTCATCATATCTGCACGTCAGTTTGGGCTCAATCTCCTTGGACTTTATTTGCTGTAACACGTCCCCCCCCCCCTCCTCCCCCCCCAGGCACGATGATATAATCCCTGGCATGCATTCCGGGGCATGGCAAACATCTGGGTAACTATTTATTTAAGATACGCTGTGTGCGACTCTTTAGATGGCGATGGGGTCTCACTCGCTTGTCATCATATGTTGACACTAACCTTACCACTGGAGAGATAAGTAGTGCAGTGAGCATCCACTGTGTGGTCCACAGCCCCCCCCCCCCCCAGCAGCATGTGGATAGGTGTTGTTTGTGTGCACAGCTCTTGTTCTGGCTCTACAGCCGAGAACATGGCTGGAATGCGTTTGTTGTGGCAGTTAATACGCTTGTTAGGCGGCTTAACCACACGTTGACTTGTAAGTTTGCTAAGGAGAGTACAGTAAATGCATACCTGCTCCAGCTCCTGTGGACATCCTGCTTCTGAGATAGGAGATGTGTTCTGTCAAAGGCTAAAATGTCACCCACGTTCAAGATTGAATGACACAGGACCACTTTAGAGGTACGGCGCAAGAAGCGAAAGACCACAAAGTACATTGATTTGATTTCACGTGTGTGCAAAGAAACAAGTTGTTAATAGTCAAGTGAGCAGGGAGAGTACAAAAGCAGTAATCAGTAATGTTGACATAGAATGGAGTACAATAACAACACAGTGGAATACTACTCCACTCATGCCATAAATTGGCCCCCCGGCCACCGAACAGGTAACATTTTATTGCAGAAAAATCCCCCCCTCTCCCAATACTACTTAGTCGGGTCTATTGTGTGTGCTGAAGTTGTAATTACAATGTTTACGACAGCACTTGAAGGCAGCGTTGGCCACAGTGGACAGCAGAGGTGGAGGCTGGTAGTTGTGGGTCTCTGCCTTCCTAGCTGACATTTTCCTGCACACTGAGACTAAGCATAACACCACTGCTGTTATGACTCACTCACTGAACAGACTCCACTCTGTGGTTTTATGGCGAAAGAATGCAAATACATTGTGGGACTTTTCTCCCTTTTCGTTTTCAGTGGATAGTCTTCTCTCGAGTGTGATCTTACTTGTTGCATTTTTATTTTATTTTTGTATTTCAAGTTATGTGAATTAACTTTCTGTGGGAATTACAGTTTAGTCTGTTACGGATTGATTGTGGATTTATGGAGCTGACATTTGTGGTTTGAGCTTCCATGCATTTTAGCCCCTTAGCTTCTCAGATTAAAAAGCACTCAGCAACAACGATCTGTTTGGCGATTGCATTGTATGTGGCATTCCTTATATTAAGAAGACCTCAGTTCACATTTAAATAGAACCCTCTTCAACCCAAACCAAACACCCACACTCGTTTAGTTTAATGTTTGCTCAGTGTCATGGTTGAAAGGGAGGAAGAGGGTACTTGGTAGGAGAGGAGCATCTGCACCATGATTTGAGGCGCTTCACCTGTTGCTTGTGTCATATAGTGAATGGCAGGAAGGCAGCTGTCTGAACACGGCGCTCCCTACTGAGAGCCAGAACCATAAGTGGCCAGAGAGAAGGTGAGCAGCTGTCAAAATCAGGGGTCGTAACCCCCCCCTGCCCCCTCCCTCCCTCTTAAGTTTGTGCAACGTCCAAGGAAGGAGCACTCCCAACCTGTATCCAGCGTTTTTAAACCCGAGATTCACTCCCAATGCAGCAGTGTTGTTTTTGGATTTTTGAATATGAAAGATACAACTTCTGAGCAGTTGCTGACATACGGAAATATTTGCTAAGATGCGGGCAAGTGGCAAAACTTAGAGTTTCCTCGATGGGAATCATGTGTTTGAGGATCACTTGTGCACAAAGCCTGGAGCTTGGACGTTATCCGCGGCACCCTCTCTTCTTGCACAAAGGCTGCCACTCATTTATGTGAAAAGGACAAACCAAACTACTGCTGGAGGCACATTTATCCTTGATGGAGGAGTCTGGCTTGTGGAGACTGTTGATGAGAAGTGGAGTACCGACAGGTCTGGTTGTTGAGAGAGAGGCTCTGCAGGCTGAGGAATATCTCAGGGTAGAATTTCTTTAATTTCTTGTCTGTTTTATCCACAATCACTGGACAGGCGGACAAAGCTGCCAGCAGTGACTTTCTCCACCATAACTCTTTATGACTTTTTGGAAGGCTATGAGAATGCAGTTTAACGGCAGTTTAATTCATTGAGAAAAAAACTTGCCATATAAGCCAGAGAGGTGGCGCGTTTATGAAGAGGTCTCTTGAAAGACATCTAAATGTGTATTTAAAGGCTTTAACAGCTTTGTTTTGTCTCAAACCCAGAAAGCGATGCAGCACAAACCTTCACAAATCATCTGTGGCTCCAGTTAATGTGCAAACACAACAATAAATGTTTAGTCGCTTAACGAGGGCCGTATGGTTTCATTCTGTTTGTGGAATCATGGATTACATAGACACATTGTCAATCGTCCTCCTTAGTTACATCCGCTGTGAATCAGCAGTGCAAATACTTGGCTTATTTCCTGTGTAAACCGGTAGAGAGACCTGTTTTATTGGAAGTGATTCCAGTTGAATTAATAACAGCAATTAATTATAAACTCATCAAGCTTTAGAGATGTTTCCGAGTACTCTCCGTACCCTCAGACATGCGGTCATACTGTATACTGTATACGTGGCGACACTACCAACTGACCAAAACCACACAAACGTCCGTGTTGTCACTTTTGAACTTCACAGCGTTTCAGTTTCTCACCACATCCACACAGTATTGAGCCAAGCATCTCACTGGGATTGTGAGGCAAAACTCGATGGCCTTTTTTTAGCTCTCGAGCATCCTAGCAGCGCAGAAGAGAAAAGCGCGCTCTGAAGGTCAGTGAGCACTTTTCAGCTCCACACTGCAGCTGAGCAACATCATGTATCGCATAAATTGTCCATGCATTGTAGCAAGCGTTTGCAGCGCCGCGTTTTTTTCTACACTGAAATCCAGTATTATTGCAGACATTTCAACACTGAAGCCTCTAAAAAGAAAACTTGATTGAACTGTTTCTTAGACATTTCCTTTGTGCACCCCTCAGTAATCGTTATTTCAGAGAAATTATGATAAGCAGTTGAAGTAGATGTGATGATTTTAGTAATGATAATCTCGTTATCTAATTTAGATTTCAATTCAGACACAAAGCTTTTTACAGGACGTTCAATAAGTCATTAACTTTTTAAGTTTTCCTTTTGACAGTAATGCACTTCTATAACACATTTGCTGTAGTGAAGTTTAGAATTGTGCCACATATTCTAAAGAAAATATTCATAATATATACAACTGCCTACCTGGCACATTCCGATGGTGGCAGAAACGGTCTCAAATAAGGTGATGAACAGAACTGAGTTTTAAGAAAATTGTCTCGTTTATGCTCTTCTCGGTCCCGCAGACTGTGGCATTCTACCCGCACATCAGCGGCGGCAGCATTAATCAATATTCCAGCTGCGACTTACTGAAACCGCTAAATATCAGAAAGGAGGCCGGTCAAAGTGTCCACAGGATGTGGTCAGTGGATACGGGTACACAGCGTTCCTCAACAACATGCTCGTGTTCTCTGCATGCCATTTTGAAACTACTAAACCGTCTCTAGTTCACTTGTACATAGAGTAGGTTGTGTGTCACTGTCTTTTCCCTCTATCCTTGCTTCTAAATAACACACTCAGTTGACTGCTGTTGTCATCAGTTGGGCTAATGTTGATTTGACTGACTCTAGTAATTGTTTCACACCAGATTGTAACTGCTTAATTACTGTACTGAAATTGTATTCGGTCTGAGATAAATTATGATGATACAACAGGAAAGAACAGGCAGTTGGAAGCGACTTAAAAGTTGGTGCAAATACATAGTAATGTCAAAGAGGGATCCCAAAATGATTTACATGGAGAGGCGCGTAGTAAAATCTGCAGCCATGTACATGATGCCACAGCCCTCACCTTTTGGAGGATGGTAAGATGATTGGGGGGGGGGGGGGGTGTTCACATCTGCACTGTTCACGGTCTGTTCTCACAGTTAACCGCCATCCCCAGCCTCGCTTTGTGCACAGATGTTGCCTTGCAGTGCAGGTGTACTTTACTGCTTCTCACACCTCACACGCCAGCAGGAAGGAACAGCCTAACTGCTGCAGCTCCGTCTTTGCACACAGGCCGAGCCTGTCCTCGGCGTGTGAAGCAGCTCTTCCATTCCTCAGCGAGTGTTAATCAGAGTTTAGGATGGTTTTCACACGCATCTGTCCAAATGCTGCGTTTCAAAGGCAATTTGCGGTTGGCCAATTGTAACAGCTTCAATAACTTTGCTATGTTGATCTATAAAGCAGAGTTCTTCTGCTCGCGGGAGCCGTGGCGGCAGTGCCTACAAGTACCAGGATGCTTTGCTCTGACCTTCTGACACCCAAAAGGTTCCCGCCGAGGCCCTAATGCACGGCTAATGTAGCCTCGACCTCTGCCTCTCTTGGGCCATATTCCCTTGTTTAAATAAATGTGGGCGAATATGAGGAGGCGATCGCCAATCCACGCTGGGATAGCCGCCTGTAGTTCCTCCTCGCATGGCAATACGTCACTGCCTCAAATGAAGGTGCTGCATGCCGGAAGAACGACCGCTTTTCCGGGTTAATGTAAATAGCCCTGAGGAATTGCTTTGATCAAATCCGTTTCAACATGTATTAGAAGTTATGATGACTCCTCGAGCTTTTACATGCTTGCTCTTGAATTATTCCATTGAGTTCGTAGGTAAGCTGACTTGCCTGTAGACTGCGCCGTGGTGCCACTTGGAAATGTCCAGAAGTCACAAAGTCAAAACTATTCTAGCATTACGTGTGGTTGCGTGTGCATGCATACTACATTTTGTTTGCTTACCAGCCTGTTGTTGTTGTTGTTGTGATGCAGCTGACTCCACACAGTGCTCTGTTTTGACAGTGGCCAGCCTGCCCCCCCCAAACCCACACAACCACCGTCACAACTAACACCACAAATCTCCCTGCTTATCCGTAGCCAGCCGAAACACCACCGCATTGCCACAACCACGGGTAATCACTTGTTCAGGCTCAGCGCCTCTGCACTCGAGTTAAGATATCCCCCTGAATTGTAATGGATTAATTGGTTGAATATACAGAGGGCGAGTTTGCCAACTCAGCCTGAACGGGATGGGACTTAACGGCATGAAAATGAACACCCCATGTCCGCGCAGCTTACGTGAAAGGTCTACAGAGATAGATGGAGGACCAAGATTGCCAGCGGAAGTCGGGAAGTTTGCTCACGGCATTGTGTGCGTGTGTTTCTACACGTAGCAGTTGTCTGTCGGTGTTTGGATGATTAGCAGTGCTAGCCAGCAGTGAAGCGTAATGTTCCTGCTTTAACACTTAATAACCCCCACCAGTGATTTACCGCCAATGAGGCTTTTTTTTCAGAGTGTATTGTTCTCGCTCTAAAAGCCAGACAGCGTTTATAGAAAGGCAAAGCACCCCACCAGCACTCACCAATAATGAGGATTAAGGTGGAGAGACCACATTTACCAGCATCAGTTCTTTGCTATTTGTGTTAGTTGTATGTGGTGACATTGAAAGCACCCGAGGCACAAGTACATACAGTCTTTGCACAAACAAACATCCCAATTTGGAGGGCAATGTCTCTTCTCTTTTTTTCTTCTTTTTTTTTTACAGCAACAAACAATGGAGCAGTGTTTTTGTCATTTTACTTTATCCTTCAGTCTTTCCCTCCCGCTCTGTTCTTCTCCCCCTAGTTTTGACATCCCAGATGTCTTATTGTCAGAAGTAGTCTGTGGGCGAACTGCCCCATAAAGGAAGATTAATTCCTCCTCTTTGCGCTCGCCTCGGCGCACGTTTCCCCAGAGGTGCTGAGTGGATCCTGAAGCAGCGACTAACGGTCTTTCTCTCCCCTCTCTCTCCCCCTCCCCCGCCTTGCAGGCTGACTTAACAGGGATCAAATGGAAGAGGTTTGTGTGGCAGGGTCCCACCTCTGCGCCCATCCTCTTCCCAGTGACCGAGGAGGACCCCATCCTATGCAGCTTCAGCCGTTGCCTGAAGGCCGACGTGCTAAGCGTATGGCGGCGCAGTCAGCGGCCGGGGCGGAGGGAGCTTTGGCTGTTCTGGTGGGGGGACGACCCCAACTTCGCCGACCTCATCCACCACGAGCTTGCAGGTGGGGGACTCTTTGCGTATACACATTGAGGGCATGTCATTTGGTAAGGAAAGATGCATCTCTTAGTAAGCTGTGCAGTTACGTTGGTTCTAAGTTGCCAAGTGGGGGTCAGAGGCCGGAGGTAAGGATTCAGGGACTGACTTCAAGGGAACAGGGAGAGCTAGACACAGAGGTGGTTCTCCTGGTGAAGGAGTAGCTCATTTGGCCCGCCAAGAAAGCTTGTGCAGTTGTTTTGACAAAGCGGAGGATTAAAAGAGAGCGAGAGAGGACTGCTCTTCTCTATTTGACTTTCTGCTCTGGCAAGAAAGGAAAAATCCATCAATACAAAAATCAACTCCCCTACAGTTGCATCTTTTGTCAGATCTATTCAAGGTTATAAAGCTAAAAGAATGATGGCTGTAAAATATAAGAAAAGAAGATGGAAAGTGGAGGACTTTTGTGAGAGAAGCACTTGAACATCGATCTCCCCGTCAAGATTCCTTATTGGTCATACAATGAAAAGATACAGATTTTGCTGCTTGATTGTCAGGTAGGCACAGGGGAGGCACCTTGTACCCCAGAAGGGAAGTGTTCAAACCTGTGAAATTTGATAACCCCCTACCAATACCCACACAGTCCTCTGACTGATGAGCTACCCAGCCAGCCAGCCAGGCAGGCAGTGCAATCACCTGTAGGGTGACTCGCTCACACTGCCTCATCATTTGTGTTCCAGTTTGTTAGCATACACCCTGTGTTTTACTCTGACCATGTAGAACAGCCAGCATGCATACAGCCATCTAGAAATGTGGCAAAATGCCCCCCCCCCCCCCCGACACTTTTTTTTCTTCCCCTCCTCAGTAACAGTCCTGTTTAATGGTGGAAGATGGGAAAGGGCTATCTTGCCATGTAAATTGAACTTTGGAGTCTGAGCTGAGCACAGCCTGCCTCCCACAGCCTGAATGTGACCCCCCCCCACCCCCACCGCTTGAAGTGGACTCCAAATGGGAACCGAAGGCTAAGATCGCCTGCTCATTCAGCCCTAACGGGTCCGGGTGATTACCTGAAGCATCTGGCTCAGGCCCGCTAATAGAGTGTGCTACATTTCAAGCTGGAGAGGGTGGTATGGAGAATCTATATTTGGACATTGCGGGGAGTCCCTGCTGTGTTCTTAGGCTGGCTTTGGGGAGATTAAACATGATATTGTTTGCATGTCAGGAGATAGAAATTGAATATTGACTAGAAAACCGTGGCTGCATTTTTCCTTCTGGATAATTTTTAAACAACATCGTGAATCATGTTTTGGCAGGTCTTGATGTGGTGCGCTTTGAATTTCTATTAAAACACCACATTCAGAGCACATCTGTTCTTCTCGAGAGTGACGTGGACAGTCACAGATACGTGCAACCCCGGCCCCTGATGAGGCTTCTCACATTCCCAACTCCCCAGGTTTTGTCCAGTGTTGTGCAGCCTGACTCGACGGCGTCTCTGTGCGAATGATTCCCAGATGAGCGGTGTTCTCCTTGTTTCCTGTTTTGGAAGCTGCGGCTCCCTTCTCTCTAGTGCAAGGCATCTAATTCCTACTTCTTCCGCCTTTACCCCCTCCTGTAGCAGCTGTGTAGCTTTGTCGGTCTTTTTCTCCTCAAACCTCTGCCCTGCAGCCGCTGATCAAGACTGTCCTGGACGGCGTGCCCGGAGACCTGTGTGTGTGTGCGTGCGTGTGGCTGGAGTTCAATCAGTCAGTTCATTGCATTTGTATACCAGCGAGTGTTTTCCATGCAGACAATGACGCTCCACTGAAATGTCAACGCACACTGTATTTTCCACTAGTTCAATGTCTTTCTTTTTTTCTTGTCTTTTGTCCGAGTCTAGCTGCGGATAAAAACCGCTTTTTCCTTTTGCATTTTCAGCCTCTTTTTAGTCTTACGGCAATGTTGGCAGTAAACATGGAAATCCGCTCTTTTCTTTTCATTTCGACAAGCCGAAATGACGCTTACTCACCCCCCCCCCCTCCCCCACCCCCTTCCACCCTCATTAGATTAGCGGCCTGTGAAAGTCTTTTAATTTTGAGCAAGTGCCATTTCTGTATACCAGCGTGCCAGTAATCCCTTCTCTCCAGGGAGATGAGGGGAGAAGGAGTGAGCTGCAGAGATGAGCGTAGCGAAGGGCGGAAAAACTTGAGGGATCTTTTAATGTCTGACGCTTAATCACTATTGAAGGGAGGGTGAGGGTAACCACCTAGCGCCCTCCCTCTCCCCCGCGATTCACTGTGGCACAACACGCCTTGCTCGCGCTAACACGTGAGTAAAACCAATTCTAATCTTCCCCTGGCCATGCACGGAAATGATTCCCAACAAGTGAGCTGCTGAATTGCTTGCCCACCAACGCCCCCCCTCCGCTTTCCCCTCCCACCGGTTGAGGACAGGCACGGATTCTCATGCAAATGCAACGTTCTCTTCGTCAGCTCCCCTCATGAGGAATGGGGGTCTGTCTGTGAGGCTTTTTGCTCTATCGTACATTTCTTACTCGTCTGACCTGGTCTCTGCCCCCCCTCCCCCATAGCTTCACTTCCCGTACGAGTCCCACTGAGACCAGCGCCGCTGACGTTCTGGTACCATGTTTTCACTCTTGGCTCTTTCCTAGTTCACTCTTCACTCCGCAGCATGTGAATGAAGAGTGATGGGCTGCATGTTGCAGCCTTTGTTTACCTTTCTAATGAAGTGTAAGGGGAAAGACTCTCACAACACAGAGCTAAGAGATTTTGGCCAATGTCTGTTTTGGTGTTGTCAGTGAAACATCTCTCCATGCATATAGCTCTCCCCGAGCAGCGAGGCAGGGCTTATTAGTTGCTTACGGGAAGGTTGAGAGGAAGAGACGGTCATCTGCTGTCCAGCCCAGGTTATCAGAAAGCCATCTCCACCGCGGTCCCTAGAGCTCACACATCCATTCATCTTCGGGTTGGATCTCTAGAGGACGACTGACAGAGGGCTGGTGGGGGGATGGAAGTAGAGGACTGCATTTTAATTGTCTGTCTCCTCCACCAGTTGATGAGCACTTTGTTTAGGGTTCACCGAGTGATGGAGGGAGGATAAGCCTAATGAAACAGCCCTCTGTGAGCTTGTTTTGCACAAAGATCTTCTGACAATTGTTTTGGATTTTTAACGGGTGTGCAAAGTCTTTTTTTTCCTAGCTTTGACGAATTCATAAGTTTTTCTTTTCACTTCTTGTTTTAGCGCTCCCCTCGGTGGCAAAAGAAAAACAACCCTGCAATGCATCTCAGGGCAGAGTATCCAGTTCCAAAGCGCATATTTCAGTAGTCTGCTAGGGATCCGTCGGCTGAAGGTTTCGCTGCTTTTACAACCGCCAGACTATTCTTTTTCCCTGTCTGCTGTGGGCAATATTGGGCGACTGATACGGACACGCCTCTCCGTCATCATGCTCGCGTTAACGTGAAACACGAGCGGCCCTAAAATGAACACGCACGAATCACAACTGGTTCATAAGAACAATGTTGTTTTTGACAAAGCAGCCGGCTGAACTCAAATTAGTAGTCGGCGGCTTGGCCATCAGCCTGTGCTTATGGAAGGACCTCTGGTCGTTCCCGGATCTTTCATCAAGGGAGTCTGTGGTGAAAAAGAAAGAGATCTGTTTCCTGCTCTTCACGCAATTATCTGCTTATTGCTGCCTTCTCATAGCCAATACAGGAGGCCAGATGAAACGGCACCAAAAAGCATTTAGAAACAGATCCTCCTGGCGTGCGAGTGTTTCTTTTTTTTTTGTTCATACAAAATTATTTGTGCTTGTGTTTGCTGCTGATCTTTTAGACACTCAAGTATGAATCCTTGTTAAACAGCTATGACTTTGACACCACCAGTTGTATTCAAATTCCATACATAAAATATGTACAAATATTTTGTGCTATTCCTTTGCTTGTCTTCATAACCCCGTCAGTAATCATATCTGCTTTGCCCCCCCCCCCCCTCCTTGTCTATATTGATAACATGCCTGTAGATCGCGGTAATCTTTATGACTGACACATGATGTTGACCGTGTGAAAATGTGTGCTCATATTTGTACAGCAAAATGTCATGGCATCAGTTATGCGGTTGTCTGACTCTGCAAGAGCATGTCTGCTCTCTTGGATAGTGTCAGAAGTGATGACACACCAAAGTGAGTGTGATACTGATTTAGTCCCACAGTGATGTTAGGCCCACTGTCCCACTGCAGCCCAGCGGAGGTCCCCAACGAAGGCCCGCAGGCAACGATTCAGAGAGGAGAAAAGCCACTCACGCTTTAGAATTCCCAGATGTTATTGACTTGGACAGCCCGATAGAGTCAATGGGAATTTTGAAAGCGTCGTGCTTTTGACTGTCTGTGCTGGGAAATCCTGGCTATGGCTTAAACGAATTACAAACCAACTTAAAATACGTCTAAGGGGGGAGTCACTGCTTTTGGCAAAGACATGTTTTTTTTCCTATAGTTCTCCTCTGAGACACATTGTTATTTTCTACACTATCAGTAATACATAAAGTTAGACCTCTTCAACTTCAAAGAAGGTTCCAGACTTGACTGTGCGACACAGAGAGCGACAAACTGATAAACCCGGGGCGACCCTGAGGGGGGAAAAAGTACAGGAGGCCAATGGCTTTCGTGCTTGGGGATCAATTTTCCAGGGCTAATCTCCTTCCTGTGAACCACCCTCCGCTTTCCTCTCTTCCTCCAGCTCCATCTCCCTCCCCCACTCGCTCTGATAGATCTCCATTGACCGGCACAGTGCAGGGACTCTGCCATGCCTGCAGCTCTGGCCCATGGGTGCAGTCTCCCTCTCCTCTCTCGCTATCCGTCTCTCTTTTTCCTCTCTTGCTTGAGAAATATTCATTAATTAGTAATGGAGCTTTTACAGAGTGCTTCTCTCTCTCTCGTTTCTCTTTCTTTGCAGATAAGGAGGAAGTGTAGGAGAGGCGAAAACCTTCTGGCCAGGCTTGGTAGAATCCCCTGAGCTCAGTCGACCACAAGGCATTAATCTTGCTGTTTAATGACCGACTGCTGCTCTAATTGCTTATACACCAGACAAGCAACAAGGGTGGGGGGGGGGGTCACGTGTTTTTTTCCGTCGCTTATTACAAAATTCTATAACATTGTTAGTTTATTTGGACCCTAGAAACAAACACCCATATGCCATTTTGTGATGTCAAGGTGTGTTGTGTTTTTCTGTGGGGTGCGGGGTGTGTGAATGCCGAGCACTGATTGGATCTGGATGTCAGAGGAAAGGTGTTGTGCTCTTTCGTGTCTCAATGACTTCCCTTGCTGCAGGTAGACGTGAGTCTTTGTAACAAAAGGGCAGCTCCTCCAGGCCGGCGGCACGGGAGGCAGCGACATGAAAGTGTCCCAGCCATCAGCCGAGCTCATAAATCTTTGTCCAAATGAGGCCACTCATCTTAACGCCCCCCCACACCGCATCCCACATTTAGACTCTTTTGTCATCAAATTAAAAAAATGCCATACACATAGTTATCCGGATATGAAATTACTTAAATCTGGCTCAAACGATTTATTCAATGAATCAAGAAAGTTGGTTAAGAAGAGACTTTTCAATGGAGAATTTGGTGCTGTTGTGTTTATTGGATAGTTCAGTTCAGCGCTACTCATTTGTATTTTAAGGACTGGCATCTGATGACTCACAACTGTACAAATTACAACCCCCTCTTTTCATGGCAATCTGCTGATTTATCTTTAATCTTTTGGTGCTTCACTTGCTTTTCCATTCATTCATAAGAAGCTGATGTTTTTCATGTTTGTTTATTTATTATTTATTATTATTTATATTTATTATTTATTTTTAAATTCGGAGTAAGAAGTTGACCGTAACACCAATCCGGTCTGTCCTGAAGCAGGGATTCTTGCCTGCCCAGGATGTTTTGTTTGGGAAGTTGCATCACCAATCATGTTTCCATTGGTCTCGCATAGACGTGGACTGCAGCGCTAAGTTTGTCTCCGTCTGTCTGCAGAGGAGAGTGTTTCAGCAGGACTGCTTGATGTACGAGAGGTTGTTAGGAGCACTTGATGTAAACCAGACGCCTGTTTGAGAGCTTCTTGAGGGAGAGACGGAGGAGGAGGAGGAGGAGGAGGAGGGGAGGGCGGGGGCGGGGCAGGTGTGGTCTTGGCGGAGGAAAGCCATGGAACTTGATGTGGAAGTAGGCGTTGAGAGATTTCTAGGAAAGCCATCATCCAGCGTGCACTGACGCGGGAGTGACGGTTTAATTGTAAAAGGCAAACCGGGTCGATGTCTCTGTTACTATAGATATGAGCCCTGTTGCGTTTGTCATTTTCTTTTGTCTTAACGTGATCGGTTACACTGATTTGTCTCTTCAGCCGGCAGTTTGACTTAAATCCTAGTTTGTCTTATTTTTTTTCTCCCCGTCCTTCCTCTTAATCATCTGTCAGCGCCTCAGTGGTGGTCCTGCTTTCCTTTCTTGTTGACTTCTTGCCCTCTTGCTCTCAGGATGGCCAGACCAGCAGTAACTCAAAGCATTTTTGGGGAGGGGAAAAAACGTGCTTGATTGCGTGCCTACTCTATCACATCTCCATTTACTAGAAGGGATACTGACGCTGATACACATTTATTCTGCAGTTGCTGCAAGGAATTGTTGGGGAATTGCTGTTTTCCTTCCTTCTTCCTGCCTCTGCCCGTTTTTCTATGTTCCTGATCTTATCCCACAATGCATGCATGCATGCATGTGTGTGTGCATATTTTGTGTGTGTACATCTGTCTTTGTGCGTGCACCTGAGGAATTAGTTTGTTGCTCTCGATATTATCAGGCATGCAGCCCTGTTTACTTGGCTGCTAGCCTGAGGTTGCTTTCCCTTTTAGTTGCATGTATTGCTTCGAAGGCTAGTGTAACACCCACAGTTGCATCCATGTCGCATTAGTGTCTTGTCGGCTCAAACTCAGGAAAACACAAGAGCTCTCAGCATCTCCTCAAACCCGCGTCTCAGAACCTGCAAGGCTGGCACGGGGTTCACAGTATCTCTTTTGATTAAGGGAAGAAATCAATGCAGTTTCCGCTCACGATCGCCACGCAGTCATCCAAATTCTAATACCTTTTTATACCTTCCTTTTGCGTTACGACGGCAAGCCAACAACTCTTAATAATTGAATAGGTTTCGATTGACCTGCTTCTGGGCTGGCTCGGCCCTCCCCGGTGCCTGCCAAGCCGACACGATGGGTGGGTCACACTCACACACCCGGTATTTATTTAGTCTGTGCTCCGACAGAGACGGCGCACTCGGGGAGATGTTTGCCGAGCTTAAGTGCTGCGGGATGCGAGCAGTGGCCGTTAATGACATTAACATTAGCAGCGTTCAGGCCAGCGTAAAATGTGATTCGGAAAGCAAGTGGGATATGGGTTTGTTTATCCAGAGGAGCGCGGTACGGGTCCGGTGTGCATGGCGTCACGGTCCGGTTCGCATGGACCAGATAATTAGAATCCTGTGAGCCTAACGCAGTCTGGTTACACTCTTAGCTCTTTGCAGGTGTGAAACAGAAACCCGGGAGTTGACAGTGTCACACACTTTCTCACTTTCTTGTCTGTTGGCTCGACCCCCCCCCCCCCCCTAGTTTTCACTTCTCTTATGAGCATGGCGAGTCACAACGCCTGTGTAGAAAAGCATCTCCATGTCCATTTCCACATATCTGTTTTTGGGCTTTTGGAGAATGCAGATTTTGACAGCAAAAATAGAAATATAAAATGTACTGTGTACATTCTCTTGTACTGCAAAACAAAAACGGTGCACTGCTGAACTGTGAAATATTACGCTCGTACCCCAGTGCTCAAACTCTGTGCGTGCAGGGGCAACCCCCTGAAAGCAAGCAGCGGCCTGTTTCCTCCCCTTTGCATTTGCATCGCCCGAGTACACCCGAGTACTGTTTTTTGTGATACCATTCCCAGATGTCACTCCAGATGTGGCTTATTGATTTGCATTCCAGGAAATATGCATTTTCTGTAGCGAGGTGTCCAGTGTTAACCAGCAGCTGGTTGAAATTGGCTTGTCATTCTAATGGGATTGCCAGAGGGTGGACATGTCACAACTCTCCTTCACTGATTTGTCCCGCAGGTGAAAGCACAAAACCCTATTTGGCGATACCTGTGTCCTTGATTGGTAACATAATCGCTCACAGCTACGGCTCATGAATTCAGTGAGTGTGCTTAGTCAGTGACATTGTCGCAGTGAAACTGTGCTCAGACGCAGTCGCTATATAAAGATAGAGTAGCTGTTAGCCAGAGTAGCTGTTTATTTTTAACTCACAAGTCAGTTAATATATTTTTCTCAATGTAAACAAGGCATGGCTGAGTGATAAAATAACATATTTTGGGGATAAAGGGTAATATGGCAATATGTTTGATACGACAGTTGGTGCTTCCATACATCTTGTAAACATTGGTTCTCCCTATTTACTGACTGCCATCTGATGTGTGAGGCTGCTTTGTGCTGCGCCTCTACCACAGCCAGCAGCATCATGCTCCATTATCGCTGATTCAGTGCAGTTTTTGTGCTCTCAAGAATGACGTTGTTGGCCCTGGAGAGTTCTTACAGGTGTGTGAAAATAGCACCAAAACTCTTAAAAGCTTCCACTCCCCTCACATTTTTATGTCTCTCTCTCTCTCTCTGGCTCTCCTCCCTCTCTTCTTGTCCAGCCGAGGACGACGGGCTGTGGGAGAACGGACTTTCCTACGAGTGTCGCACACTGCTGTTCAAAGCCATCCACAACCTGCTGGAGCGCTGCCTCATGAATCGCAGCTTCGTTCGCATCGGCAAGTGGTTCGTCAAGCCGTACGAGAAGGATGAGAAGCCCATCAACAAAAGGTACGTGCTCCACGTTGTCCCTCCATGGCCGTGCTTTGCCATTTGGGAATGGGTGTTCTTCTCTGTCTGTTATGTCTCGTGTGATGTGGTGTCGCTGAGCAGCGTGCCAACACACGCAGGGCTCACCAACTTTATGTGGAGGCTATTGAACTCACGCTTCCCGGCTCAGGGGTTCTGTTCCATCTCCCCACACTTGATAGAGATATGTGTGTTCGGGAAGGAATGCACTGGACATAGGTAGATATTAAACGGCTTAAGAGTTCCTGATCCGATAGTTTCTGCCCTGATCTTAATCCAGGTATTCTATGATTGGATGAGTCCAATGTCTTTATTTGATCCCGTTAAGCTGCACAGTGCAAACAAAATAATCCAGAATAACAACGTCGCTGTTGTTGAAAAGGTTGTAGTGGAGAAGAGGTCTTCTGTTGCTCCAATTAATTTAATAATTAGTTTGTTTCATCTATTTACTGTAGTGTAAGGATGGAGAGTGAGTCTGTAGCCATAACCATAGAAAATCGTGATTTAAGAGGTCCCGGGTTGATTACACAATATTTATCAAAAAAGTATTAACATATCAGTATTTAGTTTTTTTTTTATCAATAGCATAACAGTTCTATTTTTGAGTGAAATGTTAAACTGGTGCATTTGACACAGCTGCTCTACAGTAGTTCTCAATCTCCAAAATATTATAAATTATTATTTTTTTTATTGATAATTAAAAAACATAGCTTTAGAGGTGGAGCGCAGATCTTGGTCTAATACCCAAAGCAGACTGCTGTCTGCTGGGTTTGTATTTTGGGGGCCTTCACTTAGTTGCAGGTCGCTTTGTATCTTGTTTTTCAGTGAAGAGCAATTGGACACTTCTCCTGTACCCAAGGCAAGGAAACGCAGACCTGTGCAACATTACTGATGTACCATTAAAAAAAAAAAAGCTCAGGACTTCCCAGCATTGTGCACTACGTTACAGCAGCGATATGAGGTGCTTATGTGCCAGCACTCTCTGTCTCCTGTCCTTCCTCTCTATGCACGACTGACACTTCCTCTGGGCTATCGGCTGAGCTGGATTTTTCCCTTGGTGCCTGGGTTTATTGATAAGAGATGGAAACGCGGGGTAGTGGGCAGAGAATGACCGTGGCAGTTATTAACCTCCTACAGCAGGGTGTTAAATGTCTCCACATTTAACACCCTGCTATTGTTTGGCGGCTCAAACAAGGTTTTCCTTTGGTTTTGAACAAATGGAATAGCGGTGTGAGATGGGACATATACTGTGCTTGTAGCACCTGCAGGGTTGTGTCTTATGAAGAAGCTTCTAGATTGTGAGGATCTAGAATGACAGGCGGGTCTGAATAGCTCTTCTCTCCCAGCTCTAGTGTGTGTGTGGGGGTGTTATTGTGTTTAGAGTTGTAGCCAGATTTGTCAGTCAGGTGACCGCGGGGGCCTTTCAGCAACTTTGTTCTGTGTGAGTGCATGTAAACACATGTGTGTTTGTTTGCAGGGTAGAAATAGCCAGAAGTCTGCGGTCCACTTGTCTTTACCATCGCCCCGATGAGAGGTGGCAGATCAGAGTTGTTAATGCAGACTCTTTGTAAACAATGACTCTCACCCATCCGGTGGAAGTGTGATAGATTTCCACTTAACTGGCAGGATGATATACAAACACTGTAACAAAATAATACTGAAGAGCTAGCTGCTAATTCATGGCGTATTTTGCCTCTTTAAGCAGTCCACTGATCACAGTGAACAAAACAATGGTTGTTTCCTCTGCACCGGAATTCACAGGCCACTCTGTCAGTCTCTCTCTCTCTCTCTCTCTCTCTCTCTCTCTCTCTCTCTCTCTCCTTCTCTCCCCCTCTCTCTCCCTCCGTCCTTCCCGTCGTCCCCCTGTTGTTACAGAGCAGACTGAGCAGGTTATAAATAGTGGTGCAACCACCCTGAATCTTAGTTGTCGTCAGGGATGTTTTTCTTCTCCCTTTGGTGTGTTGCGCTGTGCTTCAGCCACGCTGGGATTTCAACAAACAAAGCACCACAGAACTGTGACGGAAATTTAAAAGGGCTCTTTTACATTTTTTTTTCTTTTTTTCTAAATGCCCCCAATGTGCCCAGACCAGCTGGTCTGGCAGTAAAGCATTTCCTGTAGTGTTATTAAAGTTTGGCAGTGGTATTTGTAATTAAGTAATCACTCTTCACCCCTCACTGTCTGTATCCAGAGCTTCTCTTCCCTTCTCATGCATTTTGTCAAAATAAAGATGCTCAAGTTTGCTCATTGTTCGCCCCTTAGGGAGACTTTAATGTCAGTGCTCACAACACGCACTAGTCTCAAAGACTTGCTGATTCCACAGGGAATGCAGTAGAGCATTTCCAAGGAATTGCAACTCGTATTGTCCAGTGAAAACTACTTAACTGTAGATCCATTCACTCCTGTTATTCTTGGATCCATTTCCATCCCCCTTGAACACAGAAACACACGTTAATCAGATTAGTTAACGGTGTTTGCTATCCCGTCATCCGTCTCCTCGAAGCACCGCGTTCACCTTTCATTGAGAAGATCAGGCAACGTTTAGAATTGCCTCTTTGTCTCCGTCACAAATGGACGAAGAGCGAGGAAAATCGAGAGCCTTTAAACGCAAATGTGACCTTGAAATTCTTACACAATTAAATCTTGCAGGGTTTCTTTCAAGAGTCTTGATTGATTGATCTTGATTGTATCCAATGAAATATTTCCTGGTCATGGACAGTTGCCTCGACAAAACAAGACATTTAACGACATCGCCGTGGGCTCCAAGACATTTCGACCTTACCAGTTTTCTGGACCTAACAATATAACAGTAACTTAAATAAGAGCAATCAGATCAATCAAAGTAATCATTATTTGCCCCCCCCCCCCCCCCCCCCCCTAATTGTTTCCAGTTCTTCATGAATGCACCATTGTGCACATGTAACCCGGGCTGCTCGAATCACATGTGCTTCACAGTACACTGGCTACCTCTCTGGCAGTGCGACATCCTCTCATCTCTGCAGCATCCGTAGTCTCCAATTGGTGGAGGCTGTGGCCAGCTGACCGTGTTCATAACATAGCCTGATGTGTGTGGTTAGCAGCAGGCAGCAAGCTGAATTAACAGAGTCTTTGAGATCGATTACCTCTATTGGTGCCTCCAATAGCTCTTATCTCCAGTTCTGGTTATAAGGAACCTGGAATATTTCTGCAGAGACTCAGATTTTTCAGGCCGAGCGTTAGAAGAGATCAATGCACATAGATTGGTTGCAGCCTTTTCTTTTTGGTGTGAACTTCAAATGTGGCAGTGTGTGTGTTGACTAGAGCTGACAGTAATTCTCTTTGTCTGGAGTACAGGCGGCTCCAAGTCGTGCAGCGTGGTTGTTTCTGTGTGAACCTCGTGCTGCTAGGTAGACAGGCTTCAGGAAACGTGTGGAGCGGGAGAGAACAAGGGAGGGAGGCAGGGAACGAGCAAGCCAGAGCTCCTCTTGGTTGTCATGGCAGCAGGGAAATGCACCATGGGATTGTGTGTTTCCAAGGTGAAGTTGGATGCCCACGCTCTATTGGTCAACTTAAGGCAGACAAAGGCGTTAACTTCCTCCTAATTGGCTGCGTACTCTAAAGTCTGAGCAGTGTTGAATCCAACCCTCTTTTTGATCTCTCAATTCGATCAGGACGAAAGGGAAAACGCTTCCTTTTTATCTGCTTGATATGCGCTCTGTTTTAAAAGACACGGAAGTGGTCCCGCTGCGCTGACATCAAGAGAGTTGGATTACTCCTCCACTGTACTTGAATATGCGGAGCTGGCTGTGCATTTAGTCGTTTCTGTCTGACGGGGCTCGTTTCATAATAGCGTGGTTTGTTCATGATGCTTTCAGTGTGCAGTGGCTCACATTACAAGAGCGACCTATAATGCACAATAACCAAATATGCCTGCATAAACGGATGTGGCTGTCTGGGCCGTGCGTTGTGTCGCTGAGCACATTCTATTGTTTTGGCCCGATAGTGGGAGGCGAGTGTGTGTGTGAGTCCTGGTGCACTGGCCGGCTGAAGCAGACAGCAGCACTCTGCTAAGTAGGACAGTGCAGGATAAAGGGCCACTGCCTCCAGTCTGGGGCTAAAGCGCTAAATTTATCCCCTCCCTGCTCCCAGCACAACACAAACGCACAGGGAGACCGCCACACAAACACGCTCGTCAACAACCGGCGGGCCAGCCGGTCCACGCGGAGGGCAGTCGAGGAGCTGGCACACAAGCTTTTTTGTTGGAGTTGTTGGCATGCAGCACAAGAAATGCAGCAACACAAAGCTGCATCTCTAACATGTGGTGTGCAAGCACGCAGATTGATACGGCCTAATTAGATGCACAGGACCACTCCCCCCCCCCCCCCCCCCCCATTGTTCTTTATACTCCATCAGTCTCTTGAGCAGCAGGGAGACTGGGCTGTGGGCCCATGTGACCCAGCACTCTGGATATATGACGTTGCTGTAGAGATCCTGTCCAGAAGATAAATATGGCTCTTATCAGTGTTTTGTATCATTGGTGTGGGTCAGTTTCTTAATTGCTGCCCAATTATGATATTAGGGTTTGATCTAAAGCAGCGTCTTTTGCATCACTGAACTTACCAAGACCTTCCAATTACCCGGCGGATGTACTTACTTTAACCTTATGCCCCCATTTGAACTAACCCATATTATTTATTTTTGACTGCATTCGTTAAAAAAAGATATTATCCTTTTTATATAACTGAACTGAAATATTTGGTTTTAGAGCAGGAAATAAATGGATTTCCTTGCAATGGTGAGTGACAGCGGCGCATGAAGCTCTGTGTATTTAGACCTCATGCCTTTTGTTGGCACACAGGGGCAAGGACAGTGATACACACCGAATAAAGAGATGCGCCGGCATTAGATCACACGCAGCGGACCTAGAGATGGTCACTGCTGATGGCATTTCATTTAAATTTTGTATTTGATTAAGTCTGTTATTTAACTCGAGCTATTTAGTTCA